CCTGGGATCGAGCCCCACATCGGGCTCTCTGCTCGGCGGGGAGCCTGCTTCCTCCTCTCTCTCTGCCTGCTTCTCTGCCTATTTGTGATTTCTGTCTGTCAAATAAATAAATAAATAAATCTTTTTTTAAAAAAAAGGACTTGAGGGGCACCTAGGTGGCTCAGTCAGTTAAACATCTGCTTTCGGTTCAGGTCATGATCTCAGGGTCCTGGGGTTGAGCTCAGCAGGGAGCCTGCTTCCTCCCTTTCCCACTCCCCTTGCTTGCGTGCCCTCTCGCGCTATCTCTCTCACCCTGTCAAGTAAATAAATAAAGTCTTTAAAAAATTAATTTAAAAAAAGAATTTGACTTGGCTATGAGATATTTTCTTTATTTAAGATTTTATTTATTTATTTGACACAGAGAGAGAGAGAGAGTGAGCACAAGTAGGGAGAGTGGGAGAGGAAGAAGCAGGCTCCCCACTGAGCAGGAAGCCCAATGTGGGGCTTGATCCCAGGACCCTGGGAAGATTATGACCTGAGCTGAAGGCTGATGCTTAACCGACTGAGCCACCCAGGCGCCCCTATGGGATTTTTTTAAAAATGCCCTCAAGGTACCCACAAATCACCCTTGTGATGGTCATATTAGGGACCTGGGAAACGTCCCCTGGGCTCAACTGAGTCTTTGGGCACCTGCCTTCTCCCATCTGTACCTCCCTTGGCCTCAGTTTACACTGCTATGTGAGGTAAACCTGTAAACCCTGGCCCACGCAGGGTTACAGAACATGGGAAGGGCTCTTGGCCACGAGTCCGAGCATTATCCAGACTTGTTTGGCCGGCCCTGCCCCAGACCCTCTTGCCTCCTTCTAGCCCAGTGGGTACCTGGCTCCTTGACCCTCCACCTGGGTCCCACCCGGGATGGCCTTAATTCTTCCTGAGGCCTGGCAGCTCCCTGCAGGCCCCCAGATGGCCCCCTGGCCTTGGTGCAGTGGGGCCCCACCCCCTTCAGCCTCCCGGCCTTCCTGGAACCCTCTTGCCCAATATCCTGTGTGGCAATCATGCCTGTTGGCCCCGCTCAGCTTTGCTGGCCACTGCCAAGTTCCCTCAGCTAGTTCTCCATGCTCTATCTCTAAAGGAACCTTCCTGAAATAAAAAGCTGCGACAGGCTTTTCCTCTCCGGTCAGAATCCCCCTCCTGGGTGGCCTGCACCCTTCAGCAGAGGTGACCCTGCATTCTCCTGTCCCCGTGTTGGGAGGAAGGTGGGTCTGGAGGAGGGACAGAAAGAAGATGCTCCAGGAGTAGGGATGAGGGGGCGGGGTGGTGGTGGTGGTCTACATCCAGGAAGCGGTCCTGGGTGGCCCTGCCTTCATTAACCGAGGTCACTCGGGATTTCACTCGGGAAGGAGGAGCTGCCTCGCTCGTGGCGGGGCGCCATGAGGGGCGTTGATAGCTCTATGGGGTTGGGAGAAAAGCAGGCACGAGGTGGCTGCAAGGTGAGGGTCAGATACTGCACGAGCGTGGTGAGGACACGGGTAGAGCACTGGCTCACTGTCCACTGAGTGCTGAAAGAAGCCGCTGACCATGTCATCTCACGTACACACCCCACCACCACCCTGCCCACCACCCTGCAGAGAAGGCCGAGTCCCTTTTACTCTCTTGCAAATAAAGCCACCCAGGTGCAAGCGCCCATTTACTGCGTACTTGTCACACGCAGGGTCCCCGCTGAGGCACACCGTCTCACTGGCCCCAGTGTACAGGTTTGGGTCTTCAAGTCACATGGGTGTAAGCAGAGATGGCCCTAGCGTGCTCTGCGACCCCTGAATCACCACTTCGGGGCGTCAGAGGTGAGACAAGCCCAGCTACTCATGCGGATGGAGAAAGGCAAGGCCAGAGGAGGTCGGGTAGCCTGGTCCACAGCTCACGCCAGGTCCCAGGGAGGACCCAGGCACCCGGCCTCCCGGCTCCCTCCACGACACCACCACTACCCCCGGCCATTCGAGTATCTCAGAGGCCAGCGCCGTGGACGCACAGCGGAACCCAGCGCGCTGCGGGGAGGGCAGGAGGCCGGAGAGCAGGAGGCGGGAGAGCAGGAGGCCCGCTTGTCCGCCCACGTGGCTCTGAAGTCCCGCCCTATCCACGCTAACCAAGAAATCCTTCGGGAGGCCCCGCCTCCCCCACCCCCGCTCCGGGGACCCCGAAGTGGGGGGCGTGGTTTCGCCTGCGCCTCCGCCCCTCGCCCCTCCGGGGACCCGACTGCGCGCGCGCTCCTGAGCCGCCCCACTCCGCGCGCGCGCGAGGCCACCGGGGTCTGGGGCCCAGGCCCACGGGGCCCCACGCGCTGCCCGGCCCCACGCGCTGCCCGGCCCGACGCGGCTCGGGTGCGGCAGGGAAGGGGCGGCCGGGCGGACTCGGTCCCGCGCCCTCCGCGCCCGTCGCCCCTCCTCCCCGGCTCCTCTCGGCGAAACCCGAGCGCGCGTCCGACGCGAGGCCGCGTGACGCGCACCTGTCGGGGCGGGCGGCGCTTGCGGAAGAGGATGCGCGGGGCCCCGGCCTGGCCCGCGCCCGGCCCGCCGAGCCCCGCGCCCAGCGCCGCCGCCGCCCACGTTTCCCGGAGAAGTGGCCGGCAGTGACGGGCGAGATGAAGTAAGCTGCCTCCCCCGCTTGGTCTCCGGCTCCTTCGGCCGCGAGCGTCGCTGGTAGCGGCCGGCGGCTGCGCGCTCGCGCGGGGCCGAGCCCGAGGTCGATGGGCCCCGTGGCCCAGGAGGCTGGGCGCGCGCGGCGGGAGCTCCTCGGGCTTCTGGCTGGGAAGCGTCTCGCGTCTGCCCGAGTTCCCTCCCAGCCCCGCGCCCTCAAAATAAATCCTTCACTTCCTCCCCTGCAGACCCCTTGGCTGCAGGGGGCAGCCAGGCCCCTAGGCTTTCTGGAAGGCAGCTCGACCGGAGGAGGAACTCCGGTGCTTTTTCCCCTGGGATCAGCTTAATCTTCGGCATTAGCCCTCAGGTTTCAGTCAGCGTCGGCAAGACCCCATCCAGTGAATAGTTTCCCCGAAGTGAACCCATCTGCATCTCTGAAAACCAGCTCGCTTAAACTTGAATGTAGTCGGAAGTGAGAACTTCTGGAAAGATCATAAACCTGAATTCTTTGCCCACCCAACCTCCTGTCCTCCCAACGGGGCCGGTGGCTCATGAAAGGGAGCGGACTGGGGGAGACGGGTGTAGAGTGGGCATATTTTAAATTATTTTCTACATTCTTTGCGGTGATGGATGGTGAGCAGACTTTTTGGGCTTAGGAGGCTAATCTTTTGGGTAGCTTTGGGAGCACCTGAGATGAAAATGCTCCCTGTTTGGCACGAACAGAGCTCATTTTTCTGAGAGTACTTTGTGTAACTTTTCTTTGAGGTACATGACTGCCCAGCCAATAACCACTCTAGGCAAACATTCAAGTTATTTTTATCCAAAGACTGGAGTTCACTAAGTTACTTTTACAGTCAGATGGTCTTAGGTCATCTAAAAGGGAAGCCAAGAGGCACCTGTGGTCATCAGTGGCCTAGCCATTTCTCACTTTTTTGGTGGAATTTGAACGAGGTAAGATGTCAGGTCGGATGCCAGATTTCCTCGTGGATTCTGCCAGACCCCGACCCAGGGGCAGAGCAGGAAGTCTGGTTTTTGCTTTTTGTTTTCCCTGAGTTGGGAGCCAGGTGGCTCTCTGTCTGGGAGAGCTCCTAACACCATTGCCCCCTAAAGTATTTTTCACAGCCATGATCTGAGCTTTTTTGGCCCAATGTTGAAATGAGGTGGATGGATCCCCATTTCACAGCTGGAAAAGAGGCCCTGGGGTCGTTAGGTGAAAGGCCTGTGGCTACAGAGTGAAGGGGTTTACGCCCCTATTCTTAAGGCCAGATTATAAATCCTTCGAGGGCTGGAGTGGGGATTGAACCTTTTTAACATAGTATGCCTTTGATTTTTTTTGTCACTATGACTGGGAGGTCATGAGGCTGTTGATGAGCTGTTCCTTGGCATTTTTTTCTGTTGTGGGCTGCTCGCTTCATCTTCTAGCCGTTCCAAGAAGCTAGCAAGAAAAGTACCTTTACCCATGCTGCTGTTGGTTTAATCATAACAGAAGCTAACATTTCTGGGGTGCTTACCGCATGCCAAGCATCATGCCACGTGCTTTATAGGGATTGCCCGTTTTCTGCTTCTTATCCACTTGTTTTCCTACTCTGTGGTTACAACACGCGAGAGAAATAGACTCTGTACACCCCTGTTGGAGCAGAATCGGTGTCCACGCCAATACAGTGTTTTAAATTTCACTGCTTGGGGTTGTGGTCCCACGTTTTCCTGATAGGCGGGAGGTATGTGCTGAGGCCAGACGGCCCGTGTTCACATCCCATCACCTCTGAGCTGCCCGTCCTGCCTTCAGTTACTTTCCCCTCGGTGCACTTTGGTTTCCTCTGTACTCCCTTCTAAAAATGGGCATAATAATGATACCTACCTCATAGGTTGTGGCAAGAATTTAACTCCAGTGATGGATGTGAAGCTCTCGTATCCAGTGTATAGGGAAATACTCTGTAAATGTTTCTCTTACTAGTAATAGTGTTGGTAGAGTTAGGAAGCTCCTGTGCCTGGGTGCCGTGTCACAGTGCTTGCGGTCAGCTGTAGACACGTTTTCCTTCATGCCATCGTTTAGATGCAAATGGCTCCTACACAGGTGGCAGGAGCCTTCTACTGATGGGATTTTGTTGGTTCATTCAGCACATCCTTAGAGTGTAACCTCTGTGTGTGCCGGGCCCCGTTTTGGATACTGAAGATAAACACAAAACCCCCTGCCCTTGTTGGCACTTACATTCTTGAGGGAAGGGGCAGCGGAGAATAAACCAAACAAATACACTTTCCACAGTCAGTATATTAGAGACTGATACGTACTGCGGAGAGAAAGCAGGGAGCGGGAGGGGGGTGGGAGGTTTGCAGTTTTCCGGAGTCGGCTGAGAAAGTCTCACGGAGAAGGTGACATTTCAACGAAGAATTCAAGTCAGTGAGGAAGTGAAGCGTGTGGACATCAGCAGGGAAAAGTAGGTCAGGGAGAGTGAACAGCAAGTACAAAGGCCCTGAGGCAGGAGGATGGGAAGCTGGAGCCTAGAGAGGGGCAAGTGGCAGAGGAGAGCAAGGAGGTAATAGGTGGAAGGCCACTGAATGTCATGTTCGGGGAAGGACAGAAGCGGAGGCCAATTAGATGGTTCTACAGTAATCCAAACAGAGGTGATGGTGGCTGGGAGCAGAGTGCGGTGGCGGAAGGTGGTGAGTAGTTGTGTTCTGGGTAAATTTTGGTGACAGAAATTATAGGATGTGCTAACAGATCCCATGACACCCCCTCCCCCCACCAAGTTTCTACCCTCAGCACCTGGAAGGATAGAGTTGTCATTTACCGAGGCTGGGGAAATTTGCATTTGGAGCAGGCTGGGGGAGAAGTCTGTTCAGTTTTGAACAGAGTTAAGTCTTGTAGGCACGCAGCTGTTGGTGTCGGAGTACCCACTGATTGTGTGAGCCTGGAGTTGAGGGGGAGAAAGCCCAGAATGGAGATGAAGGCCTGGTGTTGTGTGCTGGTAAATGTGTAATGACTCAGCAGGGGCGGGGGTTGGTGATGGGGAAGGAGCCCGATTTACAGCATTTGTCAATATCTGTGGTGCAATATTCTTGCGCTGGCCACGGCAAGCCTCCCAGTATGGAATACCTTCACCTTACAGATACCAGAGCTGCCAATAATCCAGGAGCACAGGTGGAGAGGAAAAAGCAGTCAAATAATTAGGAAACGATGAGCCGTAATAAGCATTTATTACTTTTGTTTTTAATACAGTTTATTTGCTTCTAAGTTTGAGTGATTTGGTTTTAATAATGGCTGAATTTAACACCTGGCTTGAAAAATTCCTGAAAATGCAGCAGTTGCATCTTGTGTCCCGGTGCAGGTGGCTTGAGCACACCCCTGGGGTCACGGGAACCCAAGACAACGAAAGAGGTGATAGGTGAAGGCTTCTCTGGGATCAGGGAGGGAAAAGGGTCCCAGAACCTGGTCTTACAACTCTTGTCCCCAGTCTCGCCCCAAGGGGGACAAGTAGGGAAGGGGTACAGGTCTCACAGCAGCTGAAGGGCTTGACTTGCACCAAACGTGGCTGTGTTTGGTGCCAATGGGCCCGAACAGGGAGAACACAGGAAAAACCCTGGAGTCAGTGATCATAGAGGGGACTAGGCATGTGTCCCCCCACCCCCTTTGGTTAGAAATGATCTTCAGTTTGAAGTCTTGTTTTACTCCCAGACATTCTTTCAAAAATTCCAAACTCCCAGGCTGTGATTTGGAGAAAACGTCCCTCCTTCCTGCTTGGCAAACAGAAGGTAGAGGTCAAAGGTGTCAGTGTGGCGTTGGGAAAGAAAACAGGGCTGCAGCAGCCACCGACCTTTACCTCCTCGCTCCTTTCTCCCGCCCCTTGTCTGCTGGGAATAGAGGACCAGAGCTGTTTCCTCCCGTGGTTCACCGGAAACCACCCTGCCCCGGGAGCGCCAGCACACGCTGTGTCTGTGCTCGGTCGGGTCAGGCACGGCTGCGGGGGTGCTCCCCAGAAACAAAGGTGGGAACCCTGGTTCTAATCTTCACCCTCTCGCTGGCCAGGTCAGCGCTCACAGCTCTGGGAATGTTGGCCGAGCTGTACTTTAAAAGGTGAGTCTGTCTACCAGATGCCTGATGGGAGCCTGTCTGGCTGGGCTGGGGCAGGGGGCATGGAATGTGCCCCCGACTGTGGCTGCAAGCCCCGTTAGGCCTGCTGCTAAGAGGATCCTGTCCGAAGAAGGTCTTCCTCCAGCCCCACAGCCGCGTGCGTGCGCTTCCTGGTGCAGTGTTTCTGGCAAGGACCTTGAATAACAATTGTTATAAATGAAATTGCATCCTCCCTGAAGGTAAAGCTTCAGAGAGGTTTGTCTGAACTTCTGAATGACACAAGTTAGCCGCTCCTTGCTCCCCGCCGAGTGCTCTTTCCCTGGCCCTGCCGCGGGGCTGAGGACTCAGCCCCTGACTGCCCGGTGGACAGGCGGAGCTGGCATCTCCCTGATAGGAGGGGGCTTGTCTCCTTTCCGTGGAGAGCTCGGGATCTGGGGGCAGCCAGGTGGCGGTCCTCCAGCCCAGTGTCTTCCTGTCATAGACGAGGAGCTGCGGCCTGAGCCAGGCCCGCGGTCCTTCTGGGCCGGAGCTCTTCCAGCAGTGGTTTTCTTATTGACTTGTTAATTAAAAATAGAAACCGCTCCGGGCAGTCCCGGCTGTTGGAACCCCACATCCATGCTTCGGGGCTCACTTCGAGTGTGTAACGTTAGGAGGCGTTCCCAGGCCTGTTCTCCCGGAATAGGAGGTGGGAGGCAGGGCCGCAGAAGGACCTTCAGGAACCTCGTGGCACACCAGAGGCGAGAGCAGCACTGGGGGTTGGAGACATCTGCCTTCCCCGTGGCCTCTCCCCTGCTCCCGGGCTGGGACCCTGATCTTGACTTGGGTGGGCAGCTCCTCTGAGCTTGTTTATGTCCCTGTGGGGGCAGCAGGGAGGACAGCTGTACCTGTCGCTGGCCGCCCCTTCTCAGGGAAGGGCATCGGGATGGGGCTGGGCAGTGGGTTGGGAATGCCAGTCTGTCCCTCCACGTTGCATTCTGCAGCCACTGAGACGGGGGCTGTGTGCGGGTTCCTCTGACACTAGCGGCACTGTGTCGTCCCCCCCCACCTTGGGAGCCACGAGGGGCCTTCCATTTAGCTCAGGTGGTCAGCGTAGGGGTTTGTCAGCTGTGTCACCTCAGCTCATCCTTCCAACCCCCCATTTAGTTTGGTGGTACTGGCCCAGTGTATGGTTAGGGAATGAGGGCCCAGACTGAGCAGGTGACTTAAGTAGATCCCACAGCTCAGAGGAGGTGGTCTTGAGCCTGGTCCTCGGCCCGAAATGCCACTATCCTGCACTGGACTGTGGAAACTGCTGGGCATGGTAACTGGGGGCTCCAGCTTTGGGACATACCAATTCGGCAGTCTTCTGGGGTGGGGGTAGAGGTCCTGGCCCCTGGGGCTCCCTCACTTGCCTGTCCGGGCTCTCTGAGGTTCCCGAGCTCCTCCTCTTGTTCCTGGCACGTCCAGGGTCCTGGCTGCCCGTGCCGGATCAGGAGCCCTGAGCCGCAGCCTGCCAGCTGGAGGCTCCTCCTTCTCCAGGCTCTTCTCCGGGCTTCAGATTTCTCGCCGCCTCTTTCCCGCACTGACCTTGCAGCTTTTTCTTCCCTCTAGACAGGGGCGATTGCCAGTTCAGAAAGAAACGCATGAAGGGCCGAGGACAGGGATTGGGAAGCGGGAGAAGAAAGTAGAATGGTCCCTCGGCCCATCTGATTTGGGAGTGAGCATGCAGGTGCGGGGAGAGTGGAAGGTGAGGCCCGGGAGGCTGCTCAGCTGGTCCCGGGAGCTTCTGCTTAGAGCCCTGGTGGTGGACATGTCTGGTGTGCGGACACTGCTGTGGCCCCCTCACTTTGGTTCAGCCACTGACCCAGAGATGAGGAGGCAGAGGGGAAGGTGGGCTGCGGGGTGCTGCTGTCAGAGGGCATCTCCGGTCCCTCAAGATGGAGGACAGCATAGGCTTGCAGGAAGGCAGGCTGGCCAGGTGTCTCTTTAAACCTCAGTTTCCCTACTTGAACAACAGGTTAGAGCCTCCAGGTCGAGAGTTGGGTTAGTCCTTCATCTGGAAACGCCTGCTGTCCGTGATCTTGAGTCCTCCTTCGGTGTTCCAGCGTCCCCGGCTGGGCCCCAGGGCCCTGTGATTTTGGAGAGCCGAGTTACTGGCCACCATGACTTTCCCTGTCACCACTTCTCCCTTTCCCCCAAAGCACAGGCCTTGCTGGGAAACGAACAGGGGAGCTGAGGAGTAGGAATGGGGCACATTAAGCCCCACAGCCTTGGTCAGAACAGAAGGCAGCATAAAGCAAATTCACTGGTGACTTTGTGGCAGGTCCGAGGCCTCTGGCCTTTCCCGTGTGTCAGCTGCTGTAAGAGAGGCTGGAAACCAGCCCAGGGGGAGGCCCCCTCAGGGAGGCTGCGGCAGGCATTTGCTGGGTGGCAGCTCTGGGGACAGAGAGCCTGGTGCCTGTCCGGCTGCCCCTTCCTCGCCCGGGCCCCTTCACCACCTGAGCATCGGCTTTGCTGTCCGCGGAAGGGAAACCGTCACAGAATCTATGCCGCTGGTCCTTTTCCAGGGCTTTCTTCTGGATACAGCGAGCTCTTCTGTGCGTAAGGACTGAGTTGAGTGCTGCTGCTGTCATTGGCCGACCACCGTGACAGCCACTGCTTCTCTAGTGCTTCCTGGATCCTAGGCAGTGTCCTGAGCATTTGTAAATATCAACTCATTTGTCCTTGTAATAACTGTGTGGCGTAGGTCACTGTTACCCCCACTGCATATGAGGAAACTGAGGCACGGAGAGGTTAAACCCTTGTTCAAGGTCTAACAGTAAGGCGTTGCACTGGGATTCAACCTCAGCTGTTTTCAGAGATTATGTTTTGGTTTAGTGTTTTATTTTAATTAAACTCATACCCAGTGTGGAGCCCAGCGTTGGGCCTGAGTTCACGACCCTGAGATCAAGACCTGAGCTGAGACACTCACGCTTATCCGACTGAGCCACCCAGGTGCCCCCAGCGTCTTTGTTTTTAATCACTGCACTGTAGCAGTTACCGATAATCATTTTGTGCATGGAGCCCAGAGAATGTGGGAAAATCAAAGGGAGGAGTGAGAGGGGGTGATCGTAGCTTCTTGTAGTTCTGGCCTGTCACCTGAAGGCCTGCTCCCTATTCCCGACGTGCCCCAGTGGTCCTGGCGCCTTGTGCTTACAGACGAGCCTGGCCGTGGTCGGAGAGTGGACGGCTCAATCCCTCGGCTGCCCTGAGGGCCTCTCTGGTGCTTCCCGCACACCGTGGCCCGGCTCTAGCAAGGAGCCTACCACCTTCGAGGGCTTAGTCCCTGTTTAAGGGTAGGCTCCCTACCCACCAGCTTCCTGGCACAGAAGCCAGGCTGCTGCAGAGGGAGGGGCAGGCTGTGGGATTATAACATTTTCTGAGAAAACACGTGGTGGTTTTTTGCCAGGCAGGAAATGTTCGATGACCTAGAAATGTGTTTACCTCCAGGTCCCAGTGCCTGACCCATGTCTGATCCTTCCTTGTTCCTTGTGTGTCTTCCCTCTGCCCAGGCGGCCTGGTTGCTGGAAGACGCCGGCCGTGGCAGTGTGCCTGGTCCTTCTGGCCGGCCTGCAGGCCCAGGATCTCCAGGGACATGTCTCCATAATCCTGCTGGGAGCGACCGGAGACCTGGCCAGGAAATACTTATGGCAGGGACTGTTCCAGCTGTACCTGGATGAGGTGGGGAAGGGCTACAGTTTCAGCTTCCACGGGGCTGCTCTGACATCCACCAAGCAGGGCCAGGAGTTCGTCACCAAGGTCCTGGAGTCCCTCTCCTGTCCTGAGGACGTGGCGCCCGAGCGCTGTGCCGAACTCAGGGGCCGGTTCCAGCAGCTGAGCCAGTACCGCCGCCTGAGGACGAGCGAGGACTATATGGCCCTGAGCAAGGACATAGAGGCACAGCTCCAACACGAAGGTCTCCGGGAGGCTGGCAGGATTTTCTACTTCTCGGTGCCGCCCTTCGCCTACGCGGACATTGCCCGCAGCATGAACAGCAGCTGCCGTCCAGGCCCCGGCGCCTGGCTGCGGGTTGTCCTGGAGAAGCCCTTTGGCCACGACCGCCTCTCCGCCCAGCAGCTGGCCACGGAACTTAGGAGCTTTTTCCAAGAGGAGGAGATGTACCGGGTGGACCATTACCTGGGCAAGCAGGTGAGCTTCGGCGGGGGGCGTGCCGGGGATGGCACGAGCTGGGCGTGGGAGACCCCACTGACACAGCCACGCTGCTGCTTGTGGGATGAGGCCCAGAGCCCTTGTGAAATTGGAGCTCCCGTGGCTGTCCCGCAGGTGGGCAGGTGGCGAGAGGCTGAAGGAAGAGCCGAGCAGCCAGGCCAGGATGTGTGGCCCTCGTCTTCATGGTCCTCGTCCGCGTGGCCCTTGTCCGCGTGGCCCTCGTCTGCGCGGCCAGCGCTTTGTTTCTCATTGCCCTGTGGCCTCTGCACAGGTGTCTGCCTGGCTTCCTGTGGGTCGTGGGGTGGGAATTAGAATGAACTTATTCCACACCCATCTGCCTTTTCTAAGTGTCTGTGTCCTCCTGAGTTCTGTTTTGAGCCAGAAGGCTGGCAATGAGATCTTCCAGTGAGCAGGGACCGTACGGTTCCGTGGCGGAGCCTGGGGCTGAGCTCCCAGGTGAGGCAGGCCGCCTGGCCACTTCGCTCCGAGCCTGCCCTGCCCTCCAGGTGCCACTGGAGCATCTCTTCCTAGAAACCGCAGCAGAGAGCGCACAGCGCAGTCTTCCTCAGTACTGACCAGGCTGGTGGGCCTGCAGCCATGTAGGGGGACACCTCCCAGTCCTCCAGGACAGAGGCGTCGCCATCTAGCCAGCCCTGTCTGCAGCTGCAGCGTTCCCGAAGAGTGCGCCTCAGACCAGGGTCTGACCTGGAGAGGTTTTCCCTTGCTTCTGGGAAAACGAGAAAAGCGCACTTCCTGAATACATCCAGTCTGAAGTTTTTCTTGCTCCTATTTTGGCGTTAAAGTAGCTTTCTTTCATGAGAAGTTGACGGTGATAGAAGGTAAGTAATCTTAAATATGCTTTTCCTTGCAAAATAAAATGCTGCTGATCCTGTGGAGGTCACTTAACAGTTCTTGGAGTCTTCATGGAGCGGGGACGTCCTGAGACCCAGGGACGAGGGCTCCTGAGAGCATCTGGAAGTGGGGGGTAGAGGAGTTGGGGCCCTTCCTTGGAGTCAGGATTCGTTCTTCACCCTGAGAACTGGCAGCATAACCGGTCTCCTTCCCTGGCAGGCCGTGGCTCAGATCCTGCCTTTCCGAGACCAGAACCGCAAGGCCTTGGACGGCCTCTGGAACCGGCACCATGTGGAACGGGTGGAGATCATCATGAAGGAGACGGTGGACGCAGAAGGTGCTTGAGGGTCCCCCGCTCTGTGGCCTCCACCGGCCCTGTGCCTGGTGAGGTGGTGGGCTGAAGGCTCCCATGGCCGGTGCTTCTGGGTGGGAGGTTTTGGCTGGCATGTGGTCTCAGCTCTGGACCAGGCTAAGCCCCGGGGCGCCTGCAGACGAAGCCCTTGTGGTCCTCGCTGCCCTCTGGGAGCGCAGACCTGAGTTTTACGTGGACACGGTGCAGACCCTCTGGGTGGCGTGAGGGCCTCTCGGGCTTTGAGAGTGTGCAGGGGGCGCCGGCTGTCTCTATGCTTCTCCTCACCTGCTCCTCCCCTCCCCTCCTCCTGTTAGCTGGTTCCAGCTCGGCTGCCGCTCTCTCGGGGAGCTTTGCTCAGGGGCCTTCTCCATGAGGTCGGCTCCCATCAGGCTCTCCGAGCACCACGTGCCTCCCTTCTCCGCCCTCCAGGCTTTTCTGGGTCTTCTCCGGGCCTGTGCGCGTCTCCGCAGACCCTGGGCGCCAGGCCCCTCCTTTCTGGCCCCTGGCACACTCATCAGAGGGCTAAGCAAACACTGAGGGAATGAGCGGCGCTGGCCTGGGGGCTGGGGCCTGTCTCTGCCGGGTGACCCCGGCACATGTCGCTTCCCTGCTCAGTGAGGCGGCGCGTACATGGCCGCGGCTCCTGAGGCTGCCCGGAGCTCTGGCCTTCGGGGAGTTCTCCACCTGCTGGGAGCGTGTTGTTACCTTCAAAGCATCTGTTCTTACCCAAGACGGTAAAAGCTAATTATTCTTATGTCAGTCCCCCCAGGGGCCGAATGAGGTGGGTTCTCATTAGCCTCTGCCTACAGGTGCGGTTTGGGGACGTGCCTGAGGTCACGGGGCTGGAGGTGGTAGGCCGGGCCCTCGGGGTGCAGTCTGGCTCTGGCCCCCAGGCTGGGCACTGCTGCCTCCCGTTTGTCCCATGGACTGCTCTCTGCAGCCCGAGCTGGAGGCTCCGAGGCTGCTGTCCCCCCACACAGTGTGCCCTTGGGCACACCCTTCAGGCCCAGGTTGGGGGGTCCGGGAGGTCTGTGTCCTTCTATTTGCCTTTTCCTCTTCTTTCTCCTTCCCTCGGTTACTCTCTCCAGCTTCCCTCCCTTCAAGTATGTCCAGTGCTGGAGGCTCTGTGTGAGGAAGGTGGCCGTGCGGAGGGTGTGAGGCCCGGCTCTGCCCCCGCCACCTCACAGGGTCACTGGGGAGAGGGTGTCTTGGGAGAGACTCCAAAACGAACCACACAGGCAGGCAGTGGGAGGGCTGGGGGCCTGGGGCCTGGGAGCCACGGCTCTGAGGGCATCGCTGTCTTCGAGAGGAGCTTGGTTTCTCTGGTCGGGAGCCCATACCAGAACAGAGGCCCTCTCCCCACTGCGCTGAGCCTTTGTGAGTCTCAGGAACCCGCCTCGACCCTCCCAGCTTTCCCTCCTGTCCTCAGCAGGGCTCAGGCTGAGCCTCCTTGTGCCTGTGTCCTCGTGGGGGCAAGTGCGGGGCCGCGTTCTTGCTTTATCTGCAGAGGGAGGAGCTTCAGACCTGGGGCTGAGAGCCTGGGGCAGGCTGGGAAGGTGCCGCTGTCACCCCTCTGTAGGCCAGCACCAGTTTCTGCCTGGACTTGTCTCAGCCACCAGCAGGGCTGGGACACTGGGTCCCCGCCCCCGTTTCTGTCAAGTCCTTCCTGTGCCCACCCTGGGCTGGGGAGGGGCTGTGGTGTCTAGGTTACCGGTTGTGCTGTTGCCCCTTATTCCCTCCAACCCTCTTGCCCCTTTCTTTTCCCTTTTGGTTTCTCACGTCGTTTGTAGGTTTGGGTTTTGTTTTTTTTTTTGTGGGAACCCTGCGGAGCCAGGAGCCAGGCAAACTGCAAGCCGGCTCATCCCAGCAAAGGTACTTTGGGATTTTGGAAAAAGGAAAGGAGAAAGCAAGACCGAAAGGCAGGCAGAGGCCTGGGCAGGTCTATTTGCCAAGGCCTGGCCCGAGGCAGGGAGAATCTCTGGTTTGGAGAGCAGCGGACAGCCGTACTCCAGGAGGGAGGGGACAGCGGCTCTGCCTTCCAGACTGCTGTGTGGGACCCAGGCAGAGGCCCAGCTGCCTGCAGGGTGTGGGTTCTGAGGGGAAGGTCTCCCTGCTGCCATGCCCCAGAGCACAGGGCTTTTTCACTCAGTGGGCCCTGTGCCTTCAGCCCAGAGGCACAGAGAGACCCAGAGCAAGCAGGCAGCAGGGGACCCACTAGCCCCTGAGGGGCTTGGGACCAGTAAGGGGGTGACCAGCGGGCTGCTTCAGCTGCTTGTGCGCGTCGGAGATGGCCGGTGGGACTGCAGCTGTCCTGGGGGTTGGATCTCCTTGGTCGGGCTGTTTGCCTGCGGGTCGCATACTTGGGCCCAGACCAGGTTAATGGGGGCTGATGTCCCACTACTGTGCTCGTCCCCATAGCAAGTAGGGCCTCTGGCAACAGTGTGCTCTCCCTGATTCCTGAGCATTGGGGACCCAGAAGGACAGGCATTCTCTGCATGCTTGGAAAGTGGCCTGGTGTAGCTTTGGGGGCTTAAACACTAATCCTCACTGTCCCCTCTGGGTCCTGCTTTGGAGCCCGTCCCTCAGGGGGCCCCTTATAGACACACTTTAGTTGAGGCTGGAGGGAGAGGGCAGGAGATGTGGGCCCTGCAGCTACCTCCCATGCCCAGGGAGCCCTGTGACCAGCACATCAGGGCGTGGGCTGTGCCTTCTCCTGGGGTTGGGGATGGGAAGCGGGCAGGAGAAAGGACTGCGCTCCTGCTAGAGGTCACCATGCCTTGCTGTGGTTCAGTGTGCTTAGCAGGTGAGCTGCTGCAGTGAGACTGAGTGTGGTCTGGAAGTTTCGGAGGTGGGATTTAGAGCCCAGTAGTCTGATGTGGAGCTTCAGAAGGGCAGAGTGCAGAGGCCATCTCCCTTCTCCGGATTCCCCACCCCTTGCCCGGGGCCTGCACAGCCCTTGCTGACTCCTGGGAGGGGAGGCTCCAGGGTGGCCCGGCTGTTGGTGGCACGCCAGGCCTGGGAAAAGGAGCACTCCGGTTCCAAGCTGCTGCAGGCCCTGGGAAGGGGATTTCCGAGTGGCAAGGTCGTTTGGATGTCTCCTCTCACCCCCTAAACATCCAAGTGGGTGAGGCTGGCTGCCCCACCTTCTGGGGCTGTGTGAGCAGCTCTCTCCTTCCTTGCCGCAGCCGGAGTTGGAGTTGCCTGCCTGCCTTGTCCCCGCACAGCAGGAGGGAGAGAGCAGGAAGGGGGGATGAAGGGAAGAGCATCCTTCCCTGTCCCAGGTCCCAGCTCCTCTCAGTCTCGTCTGGGGCACTGCTCTCAGAGCCACAGAAACCCTGGGGGGCTGGGCTGTCCTGAAGCTGCAGCACCCTGGGCTGTACAAGGAGTGACCTTGGCTGGGCTGTGCGGCGGGGTGGAGAGGACCCCTGCTGGCCCTCACTGTGGCCACCGGGGGGCCTCGTGGGAAGGAGGGCTGCGTCACGAGTGGCCCGAGGAACAGCCGTCCAGGCTGGGCTGCCCTCTCTTCTGGTGGCACAGGAATGTGATCCAAGGTCTGTGGCCCCTCAGAACCCCAGTTTCTGACCATTGTGCCTATGGCCACAGGGTCTGCCCAGGCCCTTGGCATTGGCCTTCCTGCCAGGATGTGCTCGGAGCGTCTCTGCGTCTCTTTGCTGCCCTACTTTCTCCTCTGCGTGGAAGGTTTTTTTTTTTTTTTTTGGCAGGAAGAAAGAGGGAGACTTCCTGAGGATGGTGTATCTGTCCCTGCCTGGGAGGGTCCCTGTTCCCACAGTGGGGAAGGAGCGTGGTGCATACTGACCTCTGAGGGTCAGAGTGCCTGCGTCGTGCCTCTTGCACAGGGACCAAGGTGGCCTGGGTCCTCCCAGCTGTGTACCTGCTGTCCCGCCATCCAGCCTGGTGTGTCCCCTCTTGCAGGGCTATCTTCAGGGTGAGCTCAGGGAGCTGCCAGCCCTCCTGACTGGAGAGAACCCCGGCCAGCCAGCAGACCTGCTCTCTCCTTGGCCCTCCCCGCTTTTTATTCTTAGTTACCCCGAAGGTCCTGGGAGGGATCACAGCGAGCTTTCAGTTTTGTTGTTCTTGACTCCGTGTTTTCCTGGGAAGATCCAGATCTCCACAGCACGGAGGCAATGGGGAGGGGGTTTCTGGTCCCGGTTCTGAAGCGTGTGCTCCGCAGCACATCTCTGTATGATGATGGTAACCCCCGTTACCTCTCTCGGGGTTGTTTTAAGGATGAAATGAAATCACATACATGGAAATACTTGACAGAGGAGAATGCTGTTCTTCCAAGCCAACAAGGAGAGGCAGTGTTCTCCGTGGTTCCCTGTGACTTCTCTGTGACCCGTGCTGGCTGATGTATAGACCCTCGTTGGTCTGTAATGCTCCTTTGTGTCCGTCCTTCACCTGACAGCGTCTCTCTGTCTCATATATGTATGTGAATGTGTTTTTAAACTTCCACGATTCGACAGTCTGTACAGTGTATAAGCTCTGTGTTTCTGTTCTGTTTGTGTCACAGAAAATGAATCGCCCCATTATGAGGTGTTTTGGCTGTTTTCACTTTTTGTTATTTTAAATAGGACGTTGCAAGCGTCTAAAAAATTAGGATATAATTCACATATCATAAAATGTACCCTTTTAGGGGAGCCTGGGTGGCTCAGTGGGTTAAGCCGCTGCCTTCAGCTCAGGTCATGATCTCAGAGTCCTGGGATTGAGCCCCGCATCGGGCTCTCTGCTCTCTAGGGGAGCCTGCTTCTTCCTCTCTCTCTGCCTGCTTGTGATCTCTCTGTCAAATAAATAAATAAAATCTTAAAAAAAAAAATAAAGCCTCTGCCTTCAGCTCAGGTCATGATCCCAGGGTCCTGGGATCGAGCCCCTCATCGGGCTCTCTGCTCAGTGGGGAGCTTGTTTTTCCCTCTCTCTCTCTGCCTGCCTCTCTGCCTACTTGTGTTCTCTGTCTGTCAAATAAATAA